ATCCCTAATTATAACTCTGTTGTTCTGTGGTTGATTAATAAGCTGGAGTTGATGATTGCTGCTACTACCCCTCCTCGTGTTGATTCACTTAAGCTGACAAAATCATCCTGCAGTAACAAACTTTTTGTAAGGTGGAATAAATCAATGTTATTTATTAACAGGGTCTTAGAAGAGAGAGACCTAATGTTTGATAACCAACATTTGTATTTATACAGGACAAAAGTCATAAAGTGCTTTACAATACAAAGTAAAATGCAAGAATTAAAACAGTTTAAATTCATAAAACTGAATAAAGCCAATCCTACACAATTCCACTTGCTTCTTTTAGAAGCTTTCAACAGTTTCCATAGATCGTGAGTCCTGGTGTCCCAGGTGTCTACAACTCCAAAAGCACAGTCTCCTCTTCTCTGTAACTCAGACAAACAGCCAACAACAAGTGATCAGCTGATCTCAGAGACATGGCAGTTACCTATGAATGAAGAAATTTACTAATATAGTGAGGTATCTGACCATGAACGGCTCTGAAAATGATCACCAGAACTTTAAGAGAAGCTATTGTAAAGAACATCTGATTTTTCTATCGATTAAAAAAAAGATAAAGTAAAAAGGATGTTCATTTAATGGAAAATGTTAAAAACCAATAACAGGCAGTTTAAACCGTTTATCATATTCTTCATATTCTTTATTGTTAAATTGTGCTGCTTTAATGTCACATTGTGCATTATCAATGAAGAAAAAAAACACTTTAAAATAAACCGGTGTTAAATATGATATGAAAACATGTTACTACATTCATGTTAATGTGTTACTAAAATGATGAATTAACATCTGAAAACCTAATAAATTGCAACTGAAAAGTGCGGTGCATTGTGCGGTGCAGTATGAATGATGCACACTTCAATAAAAGTTAAAATCTAAAATAACAGAATAATATATCATCCAGCCATTTTCTTCCGCATATCTGAAGTCAGGTCGGTTAATAATACAGATGAGAGGTAAGCCAGGTCCACTTCAATCCGTTTCAATCCCACCTCTCTCGACAGTACCTTGTATGTAACTGTTGATTTTCTCTATGCACTTATGTATGTAATATTGGACCAGAGTAAAGAAAATTATATCCAGAGCGAGAACTGAAGAAATGATTCATATTGCATTTTATTAACAAAGAAGTAGAAATTTGTGATTTACTTTTTTGGGCATAGAATTTTATTTTACAAATTTTCACTTGTCTTAGTATACCTGACAGAACAACTGCACTTCAGAGAATAGGTGTTTAACTGAAAGTCGGTTTAAGATACACAAAACAATCAATATAAAGTTGTATTAACTTATTTGTTCCTCCCTGATTTATTTTGGTGTAATACATTTACCTGCTTCATAAAATGTAAATAGAGCCTAAGTAAATGTAAAATGTATTTTATTATTCTTTTACGAGTCTTTTGTAATTAAGTAAAATTAAAAGAAACGGGCCCACACCTGGGGGGGCTTGATATGTTCCAAGAGAATGAGCCACAGACACTAACATGTGTTTCCACCCTCATGCACACATATACAAAGACTCACGCACTCATGAACGTGGTACACTAAGACCCCAGGCCTCACTCCGCCCACCCATATGTGGTGTTGATGCATGCTGCTGGCGAGTAGCATGGTGCCAAAAACCTTCTGCCAGACAACACTTGGTGTCAGCACGGCCCCTCCCTAGAACACATATTGTCTACATATATTTAAAAATGAGAGGTGGGCACCAGCACCAGAGGTGAGGCTGAATAAACAAACCGTCCTCTGGACGCCCTTCAGTGTGCCAAACCCCCGAAGCCCAACAAGTATGTGTAATGAGAGTGTAAATAATACAAATGTCTAAGTTGGCCAGGAGGGGACAGAGGAGGAATGTCTCCCCTGCACCTCAGTAACACACCTGTGCCTCAATGGAGGATCCAAGGAAGGAGGGAGGCAACTGGGAATGGGGAGGGGGGGTCTACCAAGGGCAGGGTCCCCAGGCCCAACCACACCCACCCCAACATTCAGTCATACACTGCATAGGACAATAGACACTGAGGCTGAGTTCATCCTCCACCTCTGCTGCATCTTCTCCACCTGCAGAGTGGACGCCTCAAGAGGCCACCAGCAAAAGATGGTAAAAACCTTGATTCATTAACAGAGCACTCTATGTTGTATTTTGTATTGTATTAATTGTAGACATTGGGATGTCATTTCATGTTATTTCTAATCTATTTAAAATCTTTTAAACATATCTGAGACCAGAAACTTTGGTCTAAGCTGACTGATAAATCTGCCTCCCATTTTGCAATAGGAGGGCATATTGATTCATCTATTTTGGAGAGTGTCCAGTATATTTTAGCCAACTGACCATCATCTTTGCAACAGTGGTATAAGATTCAGAATTCGGAGTGTAAACTGGAAGCATGCATTCAGTGGGTTAAGGGATTGGAGACTACAGGGATTGTGGGATTTGACTCCACTCAAGAAATCAAGAAGAAAAAGCCACAGGAAGCTGGAGAAGGAAGAATATTGCAACGAGTGCAGGGAGAAGTTGAAATAGGTTCTGGGTGATAGGGAAGAGTTACCAAATGACTGGGAAAGTAAGGCTGGAGTGCTGAGGGGAATTGCCAAGATGATAAGTATGTTAGGAACCTACACATTGGACGCATAGACAAATGCTTTGTCACATGTTCATTCAAAGTAGTCAGTAGACATTTGAATATAATTTTGGTACAAGCAGAAGTTCAGCCCTACATCAGTTAAGTAGATGGCTGTTATGGACCCACCAGTTACTATAATACCATCTGGGACCACAGCCATCGAGGAGAATGTTCACCTGTGGATTTAGTGTCAGTCATGTTGTCGAGATCCGGTTTCTGTGAGACTTGGACGATCTGTTGCTCTTCATCTTTTTGTACGTGAAAACAAGCTGAGCTGGATTCTACAGAGTCTCCAAACCCCTCTCCACCCCTCTGTAACAGTGTTGTTATTTAATGCAATTTGTTTTATACTTTATGGGGCTGTTATACGCTGAATGTGTATTTTTACAATATCAGGTCTACTTATAAGACATTTCAATTGATGAAATCAGTTTTTAACTGATTTGCAACAGTTAAAAACTAACAACCTGATTACCCCACATACATATTTATTCTTTGTTTTTTTTGTTTTTTTTACTCAGAAGTACCACTGCAGGCTGTGCATTAGCAACAAAAAGTTTAATTTGACCCTGAGAGGATTAAACAATAATTCCAGAAAATGAGTTTGAGCTGGACTACATCAAAGAAAAACAGCACAAAGGACGTGTTAACGAATGATCAGCTCACACTGACAAGCTTGTCACAGTCAACTAACCCTGAAACAGCCTGAACACAGAATCTGCAACCCCACAGGATTACTAATCTGATTAGGCAGCTGAGAGATTTCTTTTCCAACTCGTCTGGTTACATAAAAATATCCAGTAACTTTGTCCTGTGAGTAACAACTTCAGTCTCTCGTGGTGAGGTTTCAGTCAGACGTGTCACTTGGTCATGCTTGTGATGTCTGCTTCAAAAAGCTAACACGGTGAATATGCTCAGTGTAAAGCTCGACAACGGGACCAACTCGTTGATGTCACGATGGCCAAAACCATATTTAAACATTAAACATTTATTTTTTGTCAGCTGTAATCCACAGACATATTGTCACACTGAGAAAAACCCACGTGTATTAACATGCTTCATTCCATTTTCATCCAAATCAATAAAGGTCTGACTTCTGGATCCTTGTGCACGACTCTTCTTCCAAGTCTTCCTCTCTTTTCATTTTGGGAATTGAGATATTCTTTAAAATTGCAGGTTCATTTCTGGGGTCATCTAGAAGACAAGGATGCAAGAAATGAAGGAATCCTTCAGACAATCTTTCTGTGTTTATGATTTCAACACAAGAGAAAAATCAAATCAGTGATTAGGCTGAGGAGAGGGATTGGCACATTTTAGTTGCCTTCCTGATTTGCATCTACATTCACACTCTTGCAGCAGAACATGCTAAACTTGCGTAACACAAGGTGACATTTTCCGCTTCTCTAGTTTATAGCATGACTGACATCCTCCATTCTGTATTTCCCAGGGGTCTGGACATACTAAGAAAGAAAGGAAGGAGCTTCACTTTGGATCTGCCAATAGACTCAGTCAGCCTGAGCCTCCAGGATCTAATAGGTTATTTCCAACCGCCTGGAGATCACCTAGAACATGAAGACAAGCAGAACCGACTGCGAGCTCTGAAGAACCGTCAGAACCTCTTTCAGGAAGAGGTAGGGTGCATTTGGACATATGTGTGTTTATGGATGGTTACAAACTAACTTCAGATCATTTTTAACAGTTTTTGCTTCCAATTTTAAAGATTTAGTCTAATATATTTATATATTCTGCCTCAGTACATACACACAGTACATCCAGCCCAGTGGATTTTGTACTGGTTTATTTCTGATGATGGAACATATTAGAATATTTAATGTCTAAAATGTTATTTTAAGAAGAAAAAGAAAAGATGAATGAATTACTGTATACACAAATCGTTTTCTTTTAATGAAACAATCCATGTCTGTGAAACTGTTGCTCAAAGAACTGCCAGGAATATCATGTTTGCTTTAACATTGTGTGCAGAGTGGCTGAAAATATTCACAGTGGCCCAAACCGTTTTCTCTACTAGCTTGTAAACAAGCGTTTTGCTTCTGTTTACTTTTTGGATCGAGCTTCCAGTGGCCCTCAGAGGAAATGCAGTTTGTTTGGCACATCTGTGTTTTTCAACTTAGATATTAGCTTGGTCACATTATCTATATCCAAATCCATAAAATGATTTAACTGCATTCGATTTGTTTTTTTATTTCCTAACTTTTCTGTGACTACACTCTGTTTTGTAGAGCTCATTTCAGGTGAAAAAAGTAAAAACAACAGTTTTCATATCTCTAGGGGATGATCAGCCTGGTCTTGGAGTGCATTGATCGGCTTCATGTCTACAGTAGTGCAGCTCATTTTGCAGAGGCAGTTGGAAAGGAGGCTGGAGAGGCCTGGAGCGCCATTCTCAACTCCCTCTACCAGCTACTGGGTAAACAAGCGCACAGACAGAAGCACAGAAAAGATGCAATAACTCAAATTGTAATTCCACTCACCTAAAACTACATATTAGACCTGAAGACAATCAGGTTATTTTAAGAGATGACAAATGGCTCAGAGATTCATTCAGAAAGGGATCAGAGGTCAGAGACAGGTGACATGTGGGCTCAGTAAGAACAGACGATTATACTGGTTTCTATGTTACTGTTGTTACACCTCTTGATATCACGTCACTTCTCTCAACTTATTTTCATCTTTCTAGCTGCACTCATCAGAGGGAACAGGAAGAACTGTGCCCAGTTCTCTGGTTCACTGGACTGGCTCATTAGCAGACTGGAGCGACTGGAGGCTTGCTCTGGTAGGTTAGCTTGTCTTTTACATGGTGTAATATATTTTATGATTATGTAAAAGAGGTGCTGAAGTCAAAGTACACATTC